CCTCCTTTTTTTTCTCCCCAAAGCCCCAGTAGATAGTTGTATGTCATAGTTGCACATCTAGTTGCTGTATGTGGGATGCGGCCTCAGCATGGCCGGAGAAGCGGTGCGTCGGTGCACGCCCAGGATCCGAACCCGGGCCGCCAGTAGCGGAGCGCACGCACTTAACCGCTAAGCCACGGGGGCCGGCCCCGAATAGTTCTATACAGCTTGGGCTCGGAGGCCTGCAGGAAGGGATGGGGGAAGTGATGCAGGCCCTTTTGGCTTCAGGATCCATGTTGTTGATTTTGATCTTTATATTGTGGCCAGAGGGGAAACTTTGAAGACTTTTAAGGAGAAGAATGACAGCTTAGGTTCTCCTGTGAAAAAGATCACCCTGACCACACTGTGGCAGAACAGCTGAAGGAAGCAGGTCAGACTGAGGGATGAGCTCAGTTGCAGGCTGCTGCAGTAATCCACAAAACGGGAAGGAGAGCACCATGATCCCCGCTCTACAGAGGAGCCACGCCAGGCTCAAGGGCACAAGGGACTGGTCCAAAGTCACCAGGCAAAGGGGGTCAGAGGCCAAAAACACAGCGGTACAAGCTGAAAAAGAACCCAGGCCTCCCTCTCCAGGTTCCTTGCCTGTAAGTGGCTTGCTGGGGCCAGAGGCCAGCGGGACTGTGAGCGGCTCTGAGTTCCTAGAGCCCCTTTAGGGAGAAGGAGAAGGGTCCATAAGCTGGGATGGCAACCCTAGGGCTGGGCTTAAGAGGCACAGAATGTGACAGCTGGAGAGACCCTTTGAAAAAGCCTATTCTACTCCCTAACTCTAAAGATGAGGACACTGAGGCCAAAAAAGGTCTTGCCCAAGGCCCTACAACCTTGAACGAGCAGAGACGGCACCTGTTATGGGTTGAAATGTGTCCCCCAAAAGGTATGTTGAAGTTCTAACCCCCGATCCCTGTGAATGTGATTTTACTTGGAAATAGGGTCTTGGCAGATACAATCAGTTAAGATGAAGTCTTATTGGATTAGGGCCACCCTAATGGTGACTGGTGTCCTTATACAAAGAGGAAAATTTGGACACTAAGAGACACACAGGGAGAAGACGGTCATGTGATGGAGGCAGAGATTGGAGTGATGCATCTACAAAACAAGGAACAGCAAGGATTGCCTGCAAATACCAGAGGCTAGAAGAGGCAAGGAAGGAGTCTCCCCTGTAGCTTTCGGAAGGAGCATGGCCCTGCCAACACCTTGATTTCAGACTTCTAGCCTCCAGAACTCCTTCTAGTCTGCATATTTTTTTCTTTACTCATACCTCTTATATTTTTACTCCGGGTTATAATATTATAAACATTTGTAACATCTGCATAACCATAATTTACTTGGAGGGACATATATATAGGTAGCGTCCAGTTTTTTCACTACATAGATAACATTCGGTCCATAAAGCTTTTATGGTATTTCCTTGGGATAGAGTCCTACAAATGAAATTTCTAGGCCAAAGTGTGTTAACATTGCAATGTCATTTTCTAAGAGTGCCGTTCAAGGTGTGAGCAGGGCAGCAATGCCTGAAGTGTCTCAGCCTCTTCTTAAAGGAAAAGCAATAACATGCCACACACAAAAATTAACTCGAAATGGATTAAAGACTTGAATGTAAGACCTGAAACCATAAAACTCCTAGAAGAAAACATAGGCAGTATGCTCTTTGCCATCGGTCTTAGTGGTATCTTTTCGAATACCATGTCTACTCAGGCAAGGGAAACACAAGAAAAAATAAACAAGTGGGTCTACATCAGACTAAAAAGTTTCTGCAAGGCAAAGAAAACCACGAACAAAACAAAGACAACCCACCGACTGGGAGAAAATATTTGCAAATCACACAACTGACAAAGGGTTAATTTCTGAAATATATAAAGAACTCATACAACTCAACAACAAAAAAATGAACACCCAATCAAAAAATGGGCAGAGGATATGAGCAGGCATTTTTCCAAAGAAGATACACAGATGGCCAACAGGCACATGAAAAGATGTTCAACATCACTAATTATCAGGGAAACACAAATCAAAACTACAATGAGATATCACCTCACACCCGTCAGAATGGCTATAATTAACAAGACAAAAAATAACGAATGTTGGAGAGGATGTGGAGAAAAGAGAACCCTCATGCTGGTGGGAATGCAAACTGGTGCAGCCACTGTGGAAAACAGTATGGAGATTTCTCAAAAAATTAAAAATAGAAATACCACATGATCCAGCTATCTCACTACTGGGTATTTATCCAAAGAACATGAAATCAACAATTCAAAGAGATTTATGGACCCCTATGTTCATTGCAGCATTATTCACAATAGCCAAGAAGTGGAAGTAACCCAAGTGCCCATCAACAGATGAATGGATAAAGAAGACATGGTATATATACTCAATGGAATACTACTCAGCCATAAAAAAGACAAAAATGTCCTATTTGCAACAACATGGATGGACCTTGAGGGTATTATGTTAAGTGGAACAAGCCAGACAGAGAAAGACAAACACTGTATGATTTCACTCATATGTGGAAGATAAAAAAACACATGGATTCGGTGAACAGATTAGTGGTTACCAGAAGGGAAGGGGGTGTGTGTGGGGTGGGCATAAGGGGTAAAGGGGCACATATGTATGGTGACGGATAAAAACTAGACCACTGGTAGTGACCACGATGCAGTCTATACAGAAACTGATATATAATAATGTACACCTGAAACTATACAATGTTATAAGCCAATATGACCTCAATAAAATAATTAAAGTTAAAAAAAAATGGAGAAGCAGTCCTCCCCACACTGATCCCAGCTTCCTCCCTCCTCACCCTCCTTTAAAGCCAGGCCAAGGGAGCGCCCTGTGTTTTGCCTGGAGCTTTGCTTCTTTCGTGTCTGGGCGGGATTAAGAGCCAAATGCATCATGCCCCTGCCTGCCTCCCGCTTCACCCTCACCAGTGACGACTGTTCTGTACTCTGGCTTCCAGCGCAGGCCCTGCCCCGCCTCTGGGCTGTAAACCCTCCTAATCTATGGAATCCCATGGCCGCAGCCCTGCAACTTCTCCAGTGGACACGGGCTGCTGCTGCCACCAAGGAGGAAAGGGGATATGGGGGAGAGAAAACATTGAGATTGATGAGCAGGCGGGAACTGTTGGCAGGGGCAGGGGCCACATCCCTCTCCTTGCAGGAAAGGGTGTGTCTTCCGCTTGCCCCAGGGTCAGGCTCCAAATGCCATTCTTCGGGTTTGGCTGGAATGAGCTTTAGGTATTTCAGCCAAGCCCCTTCTGTGGGCTTTGGGGGCCAGACCTGTTGACTGTCCTCACTTCTCTGCACTCTGGACACCCAGGACTGGGTGGCCAGCCCAAAAGAGAACTCACATCCTTCCTTCCCTCCTTCCCTTTCTAGCCCTCCTCTGACACCATGTGGTGGTGGGGAATCATGTAAGGTAACCCCTGGAAACAGGGGGAGGCCCACAAGGGCCCATCTGAGGGGATTTGTCCTCCATAGGCCCCTGTCAGTGCCCAGCTGTCCCGGCAATCAACAGTGCCCACCAAAACCCCCTGCCCAACTCACACTCTCCCTCTCACGGTCCAAGCTGCAGGACGGCAGGAGACCACAGAAATTCCCCATAGTTTGTCTCTCTGAGGTGCAGCCACCTCCACAAACCACAAGGGACCGGCCTATCGCTTCAATGGCAGTGGCACGAAGCGGGCGTGGAATTCTGTACCTGCTTGTTTCCAGTCTGACCCTTGATCTGGCATCAGCCTCCTACCACTTTTCCTGTTTACAGTTTTGAGCAAACAACACATCCGCCCTCCTATATCAAATAATGTGTAACATAACACAACTACATTACCTGCGGACCTGAAAGCCACTTGAGACTTCAGGGCTGATCTGGCCGCCAGGGGAGGTAACCGGAAGGAGAGCACCTTCATCCCTCTTCATCCATCCCCCTCCCAAAGGCTCATCCCCAGATCTATATGTCTGTACGCTCTGTTATTGTTAGCATAAATGTTTAGTGTGAACATCACTGCTGAAATTTAAAAGAACTTTAAAATATCGAACTTCCTCTTGCAACTGCTCTTTGGTTCATTTTCTACCTTGATCCCGTGTCCCATTTTCCTCTGGACTCCTGCTTGCAATGGGAAAGGCCACGTGGGGTGATGAGGACTGAGGATGGAGGTTCTAGTCCTAGCTGTCCCCTGGGGCTCTGGGCAAGCTATTTCATCTTTCCAACCCTCAGTGTCCTCATCTGTAATAGATTGATAACGATAACCACCCTGCCGTGGACGGGAAAAGGCCTGGAGTCAACCTGAGCAGGTTTGATCCTGCTCCATCACCCACTAGCTCTCAGATCCTGAGCAAGCGGTTTAATCTCCTTGAGCTTTGTTTTCCCCTTGGAGAAAGGGGGGTAATGTGGTACTACCGCCCTGTGGGACTGTAGGAGAATTCAAGACCGGTGCACAGTAAGTGCTGAAGAACCATAGGCTTCCTCCTCACTCAGGGGTTACTGAGGAGAGGATGCATTACACGGACGTGCGCTGCGAACTACAGAGCACACTTACATTGTTTCAGTACATCATATTTAAATGCTATACTCCTCATATTGTAATACGCTGTTTTAATTAAGCTCTTCGCCTCGGTAGCCGCCACCCGCACCCCGCGTGCCCTAGCCAAGCGGGATTCTCCTCCTTGCCTATGCCCTGGCGCCTCTTTTCCATCTAAGGCTGGCCTCCAACCCCCGCCCCCGGCTCTCCGCGCGGACGTGAGCCCGGCCCGGCAGCGCCCCGCCGCCCGCTCCCGCCGCGGGCTGGGGACGGGGCCCCGGCTCAGGTGAGTCGCGCCCGCCGCGGGCCGCCTGGGCAGTGGCCGGAGACGCTCACCCTCTTGACGAGGAAGCCCTCCTTGAGCACGCCGTCCTCCATGTCGCCGCCTGCACGCGAGGCCTGCGGGCCCTCCAGGTGCGGTCCCCGCGCCGCCGTCCCGCGCGCTCCTCCGCGCCCGCTGCGCCCGGGAAGCGCCTCCGACCCGCCGGCGCCGCCTCCCTGGCCCGCGTCCAGAGCCCGGGGCCGCGGGCCGCCCGGGCAGGAAGCCAGACCGGGTCGGGATTTCTGACCTGCTTTCCCCCCGCAGGTGCCTTAGGGTCCGTGGTTGGTCCTCAGGGTACAGGGTCAGCCGCCTCTTTGAGACCTGCGCGCCCTGTGTCGCCCCTGGAGCCGTCCCCGCCCCTGCTCTCCCTGACTGGGCGGGCTGCCCCCTCCAGGTGCTCCAGCGCGCCCCGCGCCTCTCACCGTGGCGGTCTCTGCCCCTCTTCCTCCACCCCCAGCCTTAACCAGGTGCCTGCCTGGCGCTTCGTATATTGCCCTTGAGTAATTATGGAATTAAACTGAACTGAAAGGATTTCTAGGATTTGGAGTCATCCCCGGGCTCAACGGAAATAGAGGTGAGAGAGCTGAGGGGTGGAACCAGGCTAGGAATTTATCCTGGCCTCTGGTTGGGGCAGAGAAAAGTTCCCATTAGCAAGAAGCTCACAAGTTCAAGGAAGCAGGAAGCCCTCTGCCCCCAGTATACCCCCTGCCCCCAAAAAAGCTAGAGCTGAAGATTCCATCATTAGGGGCAATTAAGGGAATGCCAAAGAACTCAGTAATCTAGATAAATAATATTTTAATGCAATATTTTTAAAAAATCAAAATTAATGCAAAAAAATCCATGATGAACAAAATATCAAAATTTTAAATGACGACAGGATCAACAATGTCCTACCAGGCCATGTGGAACCTGAAACAAAAGGAAACACAGTAATACCAGTCCTGTCCAGTAATCTTTAGGACACAGCTTACTCATTGTTTGCACTGCAATGTGAAAGGCCCCATTAGGACGGTTCACCAGGAAGGGGAAAGGCCCCAGATGCCTAATAGGGAAGAGAAGGCTCAGATCAGAAGAAAGTGCCCCAGGCTGCCTTTCAGAACCAGCCTGGAGCCAACTCCCAAACCACACTGGGCACCCCTGCCCTGGAAGTGGCCCACCTCAGCCTTCTGCATTGACAGATGTTTGGTTCTCCCAGGGAGTCCCAAGGCAATGGGGCTTCCTCTCTGTTTCAGAGGGAACATAGACTCAGCACCTTCTGAGGCCAGGCCTGTAGTGGGTGCCAGGTTTTATTTAATGCACAGCAACCCCATGAGTAAGGTTATTACCCCATTTTTTTCCAGCCAAGGAAACTGAAACAAAGCAGTTAAATAACTTGCCCAAGGTCACAGAAGCCGGGATTTTACCTCCAGGGCACTGTGATTGCACTTGCTTCTCAGTTCACAAGGAGGGAAGGGGAGGAATGAATCATCTGTGCTCTGAAACCTTGCTGGGCTCAAACCCATGACATGAGAGGACAGAATGGGGCATTTTTATCCTCTGTGCCTCAACTATGGTCTGTTATCTCCTTTTTCCTCCCAGATGCCAGGGGAGCAGGCAATTGGCACAGGCTGTTTTGGTCTTACCCAGACACAACCTCTGAGGCTTAGAAGAGGTGGCATTAGCTTTAGCAAGAGGGGTTCCTGAATGAGTTTGTGGAAATGGAAAAGGGAGAAAGATTGGTTCTCTCTCCTGGTGGTGCCCCTACCAGGAGGAAGCTAAAGACTCTGCATACTTAGAACTTGCATCCCATCCTGGGGAAGCCCGTGGTCCAGCCCACCCCAAGTCTGACTCAGTGGACCTGGGGCATGAGTGACGCTCCCAGCTGTGGTGGCTGAGCCACCAGCCCACCAGGGAACCACACTGACATAAGCCTGACTCAACCACAGGGAAGACGATGGAGACAGAGGAAGCAGACAGACATGGTGAACAGCTGAGACTAGGGGAAGGGGGCGGGTAAGGGAAGGAAGCTCAGGACCCAGGAACTTGTCCTGCTCTTCCAGGCAGACTCCTCTCCTCTCCCTCTCAGGGCCAAAGCTGATGTGGAAGGTTCCCTGACTCTCTCAGAAGGGCCAGATAATGTCTAGAATGTGTGAGCTGTAGAGACGTGTAAGGTCAATGTTTGGGTGTAGGTGATTCACAGCTTGATGGAAATTCCACCATTAAAGAGTCATTCCTTTAGCTATAGAGAAGAATCCCCTGTTTAAGATACAGTGGAGAAGGGTAAATCAAGGAGCCTTATTCACAATAAGTATTTTCACTCAGTGAGTTTATCAGAATCACAGAATCAGAGTCTAACTCTTAAATCATCCAATCCAGACAATTTATTTTATAAATGAGGACCTCCCAAAGCCCAGAGAAATAAAATGACTTGTCCAAGTTCCTGCTGCCAGTGGCAAAGCCAGGACCAGAATACAGGCCAACAGTGTAAGTACTTTAAGGCTTGCACCCGGCCAATGCAGGGGCACTTCCTCCAGCACCAGAGCAGGACCGCAGGGAGGGAGTAGACTGTACAGGCAGGGAAAGGCTCTGTCTGCAAAACCAGAGCAGATTTAAAACAATGTTATCTATGTTTTTTCTGACCATAAAAATAATTTGTGCTCATTATAGAAAATTTAGAAAATACCAAAAAAGACAAAACCACCCAAATCCCATCATCTAAACAGGTGATAAGTATTTTTACCTGCACATATATTTTTATTTTAAAAATTTTGAACCCTTTTATAATAGCTAATAAGCATCTTATCAGATCATTAAAAATAATTCAAGAACACAATTTTAATGGCTGCATAATATTTCACTGTGTCTGTATCATAAGGAATTTAATCATTTCCATTTAGGTTGCATTTCCTGTTTCACTGTGTAAATGATGCTATGATCAATATCTCTGTACATAAACATTCTGCCACATTCATGATTGTTTCAGATAAAAGTCTAGAGCATGCTTTTAGGTTAAAGGGTATATATACCTTTTTAAAATTCTTGACACATATCACCAAACTGCTTTCTAGAAATGTACATATGATGCCCTCACCAGCAGTGTATGATAATGCCAGTCTCAGGTGTCTACACCAGCTTTAAGTGTAGTATTTTTAGAAACCTTTGCTGATTTTATCAGGACCAGCAAAGACCATTTCCAGCTGCGTCTCTGTCAGGGTGAACCCCTACTCCCCAGGGGACAGCCAGCTGGTGGAGGTCCCCCTGGAAAAGACTCAGAACTGGGAAGTCGCTGGGGGAAGGGGGCAGTGAGAGGCCCAGAGAAGGGCACCACTCACAGGAAAAGGAGGGCATATGGGGTCCTGGGTAGCCAGGAGATCACCCTGAAGGTGCTTAAAAGCTTGGGCAGAGACCCAAAGGAGGAGGAGAGGGGAGCTAGAAGTGCAGGCAGCAGGAAAAGATGCAAGAGAAATTTTGCCCAATTCATATCTTTGTCCAAGACCATCCATCAAGTTTCCTGTTACAGCCAGAAACATATTCATTCGTTCATCCATCAACTCATTTATTCATTGAGTCACTGAGCAGAAGACTCGTATTGAGCATGTCCTGTGTACAAAGGCCAAACCAGGTGGCATGGGCAGTATACAGACCCTGGCCCCAGGCCTCACACATCAGTGTAAACAAGGTGTCATTTTGATTAATGCAAATATCTCCCTTGTCTGCCGCAGCCGACAGGGCAGGCGCACCAACACGCAGTGCAGTGTTCCAGGGCAGTGCTTCCCGCTCCATCTGTGGGGAAGACCAGCGTTTTTCATTTCCCTACTGCGCGTGACTGGAACACAGCCTCCACCACATGCAGCTTTCCCGTGACTTCTGCATCGCCCAAACTGGTCTATATTCTGCTCAATGAAGCAAGGCCATTGATCACACACTTGAATGTCATGGTGATGCCCAGCTGCCATACTAGTTTCCAAGCACTTACTCTCAATTTCTGTTCTTATCTCGTCACAGAGCAGCACCAAACAGACACCCTTGAAAAGCATTGCTCTAGAGCACAGGATCTGGAATCGAAAGCGTGGGTTCAAATCCTACCTCTGCATGACCTCTGGCAAGTTACTTATCCTCTCTGAGCCTTATTTTCCTCATGTGCAAACTGGAGTTATTGGGCAAAATAAATGAGATTGTGAAAGTAAACTGTGTAGTGCAGTGCCTGGCACACAGTAAGGATTCACAATAAATTCTTTCAATTCCATTTGACCCCAACCTTGTGAGGTTAGTAGAAGTAATCAGTAGCTCTAGAGTTATGGATACAATACTAAAGCTGGGCAGGGAGTAGAGTAGGGAGTTTATATTTACCATGTTCCTACTATGTGCCAAGGAATTAACATATACTATCTCATCTAATCCTCAAAATTTCCCTGTGAATTAGGTATTATACCCATTCTGTAGATGGAAATGAAGATTCAGAGAAGTTAAATAACTTGGCCAACATCACACAGCCAGTACCTGGCTCAGTCCGGGTAAAATCTACACCTATCTGAGTCCAAGTCTTGTTCTTTCCAATACCTCGCACTGTCTCCTTTGGCCAAAGGATGTTCTCTCTTCCTGAGAAGGAACCCCATCGGCCTAAGTCAGGGGGCCCACCGTGGTAGATCGAATTACTGTTCCCGATTGTTCACTGCCCTAGCCCTTTGAGAGATAGGTACTTCCCGCCCCTTAGACTCAGGATGGGTCATGTGTCTTGCTTTGACCAAGGGAACACCAGCTGCATATCCCAGTGGAAGCTGTAAGCATCATCACTTGGTTCCACCCTTGCTCTTCCCCTATGCCACAAGCCCAGCACAGCCCAGATAGGGGCTGCTGCTACACCTTGACATGAAGATGACTTGGGAAGAGAGCTGCAGCCAACATGACAGAGAAATAAGCCTTTGGTGTTGTGAACACTGAGATTTTGGGGGGACTGTTTGTTACCACAGTGTAACTTAGTGGAAGCTGACTGATACACCACCCTGTCCATCCCAGCTGCCCCCTCACACTATGATGGATGCTACAGAGCAATGCCAGAACTACATGGCTTGGGACATCTTTCTGACATGGAGGGGTGGAGTGCCCTCTCATTAATACCCTGAACCCCGCCTCCCTGTTCCACTGGAAAAGCTGGAACACCTTGAGAGGGTT